AAATCATAAAGTTGGCTTATCCAAGCATATACGTATTCACACAGGAGAAAAGCCATTTCCTTGTCCACACTGCCTTGCATCATTTTCCCAGAAAGGAACTTTAAAGTCACATATACGTACTCACACTGGAGAAAAACCATTTGCTTGTGCAGATTGTCCCTACAGAGCCACTCAGAAAAGCACTTTAGTTAACCATATTTTGAGTATTCATAAGAAATTCATGTAACATGTTATTTGAACAAAGTAAGATTAAATATAAATATTAAATATTGAAGTGCAGTATTTAAGAAAACCTTAATAACGAGCATATACTTAACAAACTTCAAACCTTGTCCGCTGCTTCATAAATTGTGCAAAGAATCTTAATGTTATTCTTTCATTTTTATTACTCTGTTTCTTAATGTGTCTTAGTAAAAACAATTAACAGACCTGAATATTAATAATAAATACAAATGTGTGTAGAGAGCTTAAGAATATGATAGAGGTTGTAAAACAAAACAGTGATTAATAAGTGGTGTTTCAGTTGGTGGGACTGGTGGGATTCAGCATGTACACTTCATGAATGTGTGTACAGGTGGAAGATGAATGAATGTACAGGTGGAAGATGAATGCGATTGTATCCTCTTTTGTATTTGATAAATTCCTGTTGTATCTTGCTGCAGAGTTTTTTTTTGTCCTTGTTTCTCTCAGACAAATATATAAAAACCCACTTCTTCCTTGTTACTTAATTAACCTATTCTCACCTTATGTCCTCCACCTGCACCACCTCATGTTTACACTCGTCATACTCTCCCCCTCATGTCTTCACTTAGCTTATGCTCCTCATGACTATCCTCAGCTCACACCATCCTTGCGTATGCTCTGAGCTCATCTTCTTGTATCAATTCTCAGCTAATCCCCATTTCACTTGTGCCATCAGCTAAATTGTATCTTCAATTCAATTTTACTTCATGTCAGCCTTCAGCTCCTTGTTTCTGCTGCCTCTTAACCCTTCCTCGTAACTACTTCATTTTTAGTCTCTCTTCATATATCCAACATAACTTCCTCTTCATACATCCACCATAGCTTCCTCTTCACCATACATCCACCATAATCCATAACTTCCTCTTCACCAATCATCCACCATAACACCCTCGTCACCATACATCCACCATAACTTCCTCATCACCATACATCCACCATAACTTCCTCATCACCATACATCCACCATAACTTCCTCTTCAGTGTTCATCCACCATAACTTCCTCTTCACCATACATCCACTATAATCCATAACTTCCTCTTCACCAATCATCCACCATAACACCCTCGTCACCATACATCCACCATAACTTCCTCATCGCCGTACATCCACCATAACTTCATCTTGACTCTACGTCTATACCAAAATTTAGAATTTACAAGAATGGGTACAAGATGGAGAAATTATATTTTAGAGAATTACCTGGTTTGGAAATAGGGTTGTGAATGTGTGCAATAGGCTTCCAGTCAGCACTATTTAGACAATCAGTTCAACAGGTTTCAAGAATAGATTAGACAAATGGTATATGGATGAGAGTGGACTTAAACAGGCCTCCACTTAGTGTATGGGCCATTGCCTGTTGAAATCCTCTTTAATTCTTACATTATTATAAATTCCTCTTTCTCATAACCCACCATATATACCACTGTAACTTACTCTTCACCATACATCAACTATAACTATATCTTTACCATATACCTACTATAACTTTAACTATAATACATCAACTATAGCTTTAACACCATACATCAACTATAACTTTAACACCATACATCAACTATAACTACATCTACACCATGTACAGTACCTACCTCTGTTAACTTTTAAAGTACAACTGGAAAAGATCACCAAGGCAAATGGGGGGAGGACCTTTGACAAGCCACCAGCTTCCTATCCTCATCGAGGTCTCTAGTGTAAGTGGCTTTCAGGTAAATAGAACATTATGTGTGATGGCACTTAATAAACAAATGTTCATGAAAATTTCAAAATTCCTCATTTATTTTTCAATACTGTATAAAAAAATATGGAAATGTGTGCACATTATTGCTCTATACCACTGTAAAAAAAAAGGAGAACAAATATAACTCTTATGCAGGGAGATAATTTGCAAAACATTGTGAAAATACATACAAGCAAAGTAATTATCACAATGGTTGGCCATTGTGATATCCCATGGTCCCTTGATACTATAGTTGGTCTCCTAATAAGCTCTGCAGACACCGTGTTAAAACAAAATTCTTTTGCAAATACTGAGATGTATTGTAAGGGACAAAATTCTTACTTCCTGAAAGTATTATTTAGAAATGTATTAATACAGAAGCCCACTTTATTAATATGGAAAAGGTCCCTGGAAAACATAAATCAGTAGGCCTACATCCACTATAGGAATGGATGTTTGAATATATAAGGGTTTGTGACTTACCTTACCAGGAAAGTAGTGTAGTGAAATATCTTTATAGTACCCCTGAAGCACATGTAGCTAAGTACAAATCAATCATAACTCATCATTCCTCAAATCTTTATTAAACAGATATTCACTGAAATCACTTTATTATGTATTTTGAGCATGACATATGATAGAGAAATTACTGGTAAACAATTTCTTTTCAAAGTCATAACTATATGATAGTTATTGGTGGGTATAAACATTACATAATGACCAGGATTTAAAGAAACTCAACCAGTCTCGATATAAATATTCACAAAAACCCAGCATTGAATGTAATGAAACATCTCTCTCTAGATGAGCCCCAGTGGCTCCCTGAAGCTATCTCGCTGAGATTGCTCCATGCAAATAGGTCACATCAGATACCAGTCTGTAGTGTTTTGCCAGTTTTTTACTATATGATGATAACCACAATACCCTGGGGATCAACATACGATGATAACTGTACTTTATGGGTTAGAGTGGAACTGTTGATATATGAATTGCTTGTTTTGGATTATAAAAATTTAATTTTGCTTGCAATATTGGTGAAAATGGTCATCTTGTAGTTGTATGGAAATTGACCTCTTATATTACTGATGTAATTACATACTGTATATGAGAGAGGGACATCTACTAAGCATCAAATAAACCCTGCGGCTCCTGTATCCCTCAACGATGATATAAATAAACTAACTAGAGACAGTTCATAGCTATGTTTATTTTATATTTCCCTTTAATCCTTAAAATTAGCCAAGTTTCTTTTATTTCTTTAATTATATTGTACATTTATGTATCCTGAGACACTGCTTGCTTAATGACTTGTACCATATAAGTAAGTAAGGAATTCGTCAAAGTACCATCAGGAACTGCTTGGTGGGTGGGTGATGATTTGATTACTAGAGGCTCTGTATTTTATTTTTATTTTAAATTAGACAAATCTGTGATTCTGTACTGTTTTGTAATTAATTATTATTATTGTTATTATTATAATTCTTAATTACAGTTCAAAGTACTTAATGTAGAATATGTTCTCTGGGATTATCTAGTAATGGGAATTTAAGGATGCTTTTCCTCACAGGTGGAGTCTAACATGAAACATCAGAACTCAGATGGAAGAGCAGCTAGCAGCAAAATTCATCAGTGTCCATATTGTAAATACACTACATCTCAAAACCTCAATCTATCAAAACATATTCGTATTCACACTGGAGAGAGGCCATTTACGTGTCCACACTGTCCTGCTGCATTTGCTCAGAAAGGAAATTTAAAGTCACACATACGAACCCATACTGGAGAAAGACCATTTGCTTGTACTAAATGTTCTTATCGTGCTACTCAAAAAAGTACTCTAGTTACTCATGTTTTGAGTATTCATAACAAACTAAACTATTGTAATTCACCTAATCAATGAAAATTAGAAGTTCAGTAGGGTTTTAGATAGCTCACATACTCAAGGAAGTTTGTTTGTTCTATATAATTTTAAGTACAATATTAATATTTGAAAGGAATTTATTTCATAAAGTGAAACACATGAGGATTAACAATAATAATAATAATAATAATAATAATAATAATAACAGTAATACCAATAATAATAATAATAATAATAATAATAATAATGCCGTAATAATAATAATAATAATAATATTATTGAGAAAATCAGTAGGAGCCATGAGGAAGATTCGAATCCGCTCACTTGGTTCGAACCCAAGCTAATGCCCTAGACCATCATGCCCATGACATGGTCAAAAGCAATGCAACCTTGGATTCTCACTGAATTCTCAGGGATTCCTGAAGCTTACATTACATTACCAAAAAATGGTTTTTGATAATGTAGAATATGTTACAGTATTGATTTTAAAAGAAATATTTTTAAAATAATAAATGTCAGACAAGCATCATCCATGGGTACTGTACCATGATGGAGTAATGCAATGGTGAAGGACATACACAGTTATAGCCTTGAAGTTCTTGATGGTGTGATCATGTAACATGAACAATGGGCTTTTGAAATAATTAGTGCATTGAAGAATAATAGGAATTAATATAATAGGGAAAATAAATCAAAATATTCTTAATACACTTTAAATTCGCAGGATGTCTTTAGTAGTACAAATCCGGCACTGTATTGCAAGCTGGGTGGAGAGAAGTGGAGAGCATAAAAGGAAAAAAATATGAAGAATAATATTTGCACCTGATTTTATCTAGTTTAGTATGTAATTTGCAAATTAAGTGGGGGATATCCACTTTGTGCTGCAGTGTTTATGTCATTGGAAAAACTAATTTGGTTAATATTAGACATTTTTAACAGTTTGAAGTCTTTTCCACACTTAAATATTTTTCAGTAGTGATAATGAAAAAATTTGAGTGTACTACAGTATTTTGTAAAAACTGGACTGGATACATAGATTTAATATTTTGTGAATAATTTTAAGGAAAATTTATTTGTATTATATATGATTTGGTTTACATCACCACTGCACATTTTGAGATCGCTATTATATGAATTTATGTAGTGTATTAGGAATCTAAGGTCACTTTCCCTCACAGGTGGAGTCAAAGAGGGTCCATCAGAACACAGATGGAAGAGGAACTGCTAGCAAGACTCACCAGTGTTCTTATTGTGAATACTCCACCTCGAAGAAATTTCATTTGACAAAGCACATACGCATTCATACTGGAGAAAAGCCATATTCATGTCCATACTGTGATTTTAGATTTTCTCAGAAAGAAAGTCTGAAACCCCATATAAGGACTCACACTGGGGAAAAGCCTTATGCTTGCACAGAATGTTCTTATCGTGCAACCCAAAAAAGTACATTAGTTAGTCATGTTTTAAGTATTCATAGGAAAGGCATTTAATATTTACATATACAGTACTATTTATAGTTAGAATAAGTAAGGCATTAGTCTGTTTAGGTCAGATTATAAATTTTAAGTAATGTATAAAATTTGTACAGATTTTTTTCTGTATACTGTTGATGTCATAGTTTCAGAAGCTGTTGTTATTATTCCAAAAATTGTGTGTATATTAATCTGCTATTTAATGTTTGATACCTTGTTCCATCTAGGAATTTTCATTAAGTTAAGGATAAATACAAAAGCCTCAAAATCACCCTTCTTAATATGTATGATTTATTTCTGTCATGCTGCCTTTAAACCTTTCCTTTATCCTCTATTGTACTTTTCATCTTATAGAACATTGTTTAACTTCATGTGACACTTGACTTATGCTGTCCTTGTGTCCTTCTCATACCTGCTGTCCTTCTTTTTAAAATGGAAACCAAATTATATATTCATACCTATTTAACCACTGCACTGCATAGAGCACCTTGTGGCACTGGATGGAGGGGTGCACAGAGTGCCATGTGGCATTTGTAAGGCATAGGGAGCGATTCAAAGCTCCCGCAGGTACACGAGGCTCACATCCTGTACCTGAGGACTCCTGTAAACAGATGCCATCTTGGAAAAATATTGTTAGCATCCACACTGGCTGTGAGAGCCTTAGTTCTGAGAGAGCGACCAAGGCTGGTGCATGCAGGAGCCGCGCACAGCACCGCTGTGCAGCTCCGGGCCACAGCACCGCTGTGCAGCTCCAGGTCACAGCACCACTTAGTAATGATGAATAAAATAGGTAACTGAAATTATTTTACATTGATAGTGTTACAGATAATCCTGTGATAAAGACTATGCAAAATGTTCGGATATCAGTTAACACAATGTTAGTTATGATATTCACAACATGAGGTAGAGAAAGACAGCACCCAGCCATTGTTTCCTGCATCTATGCATCATGAAACGACCATATGTTCCATCAGCAATATTCATTTTGTTATGGAAATGGATTCATGTTCAGGATTTAGTGACAGGAATGTGATAATAACAGCAGTTTTGTAACTAGTCATAGCGAGACGAGTAGAATATTGGAGGCCTTGCGTCATGTGACTGTTGGAGTCTTCTGCTTGTGTCTCCATGCTGTGTTTTGATTTCATCACCATACCCACCAGAACTGCTTATTAGTATGTTATGGTGCATATAAATGTTGATAATGATGTATAACATGCATATATAGTATAATAACAACAGGTACACTGTTTGATTGATCTTTATTTTATTTTATATAATTATACATACAAGAGTTCTTACATTTTTATACAGCCACTAGTACGCGTAGCGTTTCGGACAAGTCCTTAATCCTATGTTCCCTGGAATACGACCCCACGAAAAATCATTTAAATCTAAGAATATGTGTCACCATGTATGAGCTCCATATTTTTGAGAATAGCAAAGTTCCACTTATTGTGCTATATACATTCCATATATTACACTATTGAATAATATGATTGCAAAAAACTAGATATTAACCATTCACAGACACTGAAATAATTATGTAAAAATATATTTAGGGCAGCCCCAGCCACACTCAGCTCTTGGCCCCTAGGCTGATCTTGGATTCTTCTTTTGTGTATATAAACTCTCAACACACAATCTTTGTGGTTTATTATCGTGCACAAACATGTAGATGTGTATATACAATGTGTATATAGTGTAATAACAGCAAAAACACTGTCGATTGATCGTAGAATATAACATACATGTCACATATATGAGCCTAATAATTTTGAGTATAGCAATGTTTCACACATTGAAGAATATAAATTCCACAAATTACACACATTTGAATAATATTACAGTAAAAAAACAGAGAAGAAATTAATGAGAAACATTAAAATTATTGTGAAAATTAATATTCGCGGCAACTGGTGCCCCACTGGGTGGCGGGGTCGAGTAACTCTGAGCGCTTCATCACTCAGTGCCCATAATTTGCTGAACTTCTAAGCTCCATCACGGCTAAAGTATGGCACAGCCAATATTCTATTTTAGTTTCCCTGAGATCAGAGACTATAAAAGAATTTTTTTTTTTAATTATTTTCGGTGCACCACGGGGATGCCATATTTTAATGCAGCGCAGCACGGTGGTTAAGAATAGGAAACTTCTAATACCATGATTCTTTGCACAACATGTCCTCGAAAATTATAAATTCGGCTATATGCACCAATCCTCTTTACTTCCAAAGTTTAATTAAGCACAGTGAGCTGCATCTGATAAGCATTGGCACAATGAGAGTCGACAGCAGGTGTGATTGTTTTTATGACAACACATGACGTGTTATGACATCAGGATTCTTATTTTTCTCCATCTCCAATGTTTCCCCCTTCACCTTTCCTCCCCCATGCCTTTATGGTTGTATCACATGCATTTAAACACGATGTTTAATTTTAATTCTTGTGACTTCAAACACTAAAACATTTATTTTACTCACTTTGGTATTACCTACCTGCCTACCTGTTGAAGATTCCTGGGATTATTGTCCCCGCAGCCTGGTCCTCGACCTGGCCTCCTGGTTGCTGATCTGATCCACCAGGCTGTTTGATGTTGTTGCTCACAGCCTGACATATGAGTCACAGCCTGGTTGATCAGGTATCCTTTGGAGGGGCTTGGTGAGTTCTCATCTGAACACTGTGAGAGGTCAGCCAGTTTTGTCCCGTATGTGTAGAAAAGAATGTTGAAACATCTTGGGCCTCTGATATTGATAAATTTCTCTCTCATCATGCTTATTGCACCTCTGTTCTTCGATGGGGCTATTCAGCACATCCTGCCATGCTTTCTGGTCTCATGTGGTGTTATTTGTGTGCATATTTGAAACCAGTCATAATATTTTCCAAGTTTAAATTATATGTATTTCTCCCACCTGTGCTCTAGGGAGTACAGATTTAAAATTTTTAGGTAGTCCCATTGATTTAAATATTTTATTGAGTGGATTCTAGTGGTAAAGGATCTTTGCATGCTCTCCAGGTCAGCAGTTTCTCTATCTTTGAATGGGGTAAACAAGCACCCACTGGTCTGAACAAGCAACCAATGCTCTGAACAAGCACCCACTGCTCTGAACAAGCACCCACTGCTCTGAACAAGCACCCACTGGTCTGAACAAGCACTCACTGGTCTTAAAAGTACACAAGGAGAAATAGATGAAGGGAAGTACACAAGGGGGAAATAGATGAAGGGAAGTGCACAAGGGGAAATAGATGAAGGGAAGTACACAAGGAAAAATAGATGAAGGGAAGTACACAAGGGGGAAATAGATGCTGTTATTGTGCAATAATATTCCACTCTTAGAAAGCACTAACATCTTAAAAGTATCATCATTGGTATGGCATCTCTTGTTTGGAAGATTGTTGTTATCCAACCTGTCATTTTTCTTGCAGATGTGACAGCAACTTCGTTGCGTTCTTTAAAAGGTCTCCGACATAATTACTGTACTTCTAAATTTTTTATTTTGCTTTTCTTTCAGTAGTGTGGTTTGACTGTGTTTTATATGTGGTTTCTGGTTTAATGTATTTGCTTTTCCATAGCACAGTAATTGGAACTTATCCTCATTAAACATCATGTTATTTTCTGTGGCCCATTGAAAGATTTGATTAACATCAGATTGGAGGTTTGCTGTGTCCTCTATGTTGTCTACTACTATATAAAAATATAACCATATATTATTGTGCCATGATTCTACTCAAGCATCCTCTATCTTTAAGAAAAAATAGAGAAACCCCCCTTGAAGTTGAGAAAGCTTATGAAAACAATAGGGGAGAAGTATGAACTCCTGATTAAGCTTGAGGCTCGAGAGAATGCTACCACACTAGGTCGCCGCTATAACGTGAACGAATCTAGTATATGCTCGATTAAAATGAATGCAGATAAAATCAAACCAGCAGTGACTTTTTCAAGTTCACTAAATATAAAAATAACATCAAGGGTGAGACATACTATTGAAAAATTTGAGAAATTGCTAACAGTATCTTGAGGTTATCTTGAGATGATTTCGGGGCTTTTAGTGTCCCCGCGGCCCGGTCCTCGACCATTATTATTAATAATACTGTAATAATAATAATAATAATAATAATAATAATAATTCATTGTATTGGGGGGACAGGAAGCCGGCGCCATCTTACACATACAGTACAAAGGTCCCAAAGGGTCGAATTACTGACCCCCACCCAGGAAGCGACCCCACAACATGCTGATTAACTCCAGGGTACTTATTTGCTGCTAGGTGGACAGGAGCATGAGGTGAAAGGAAACCAGCCCAACCTGTACTATCCCAGAATTCTTGATTGTGAGTTGAGAACAAACCCGACTATACTACCAGGACCCTCAAATGTAATGTTAATGTTATTACAGTACAGTACAGTATACTGAAAACATGAAATTCTAATTTAGGCCTAGTTTTATCTATGTTAGGCAATATTAAAGAAATGATATACAGTATTTAGGTTAGGTCAGGTTTCTAAGTTAGTTTTTACAAAAATTAAAAAATTCCTATCATTTACATTATAATGAAACACTGTTATTATTCCATAAGAGAAATTTTTTGAAAAAATTAATAGATAAGACTATTTGTATTATTAGGCAACTCTGGCTTTTAGGTATGAGATGTATACTATGTATAGGCAATTTTATATTGTCTGCTAGATATGTAGATCAAGTTTTCTGCTTCTGATTGATTCAGTATACTCCAAAATTGAAGACAATGTACAGTGAATTCCTTGTTATCCAAATCCCTGTTTTCCAGATTATCAGGTTATTCAGAAAAGGTGATTACAGTACAGTATTTGATTACACACAGAAATCACCATAGCAACTTCTGCTACTGTGGAACTTCTGGCTGCAAGTAGCAACCAGTAAGGTAGTAGAACCTCTGATTGCAGTTCTTTTGACCATGTTGTAGCACAGTCGATTAAGGCAGGGTCTGGGATGCTCTCAGACGTAGGTTCGAATCCTTGTCATGGCCCTTGTGGATTTGTTTACAGTATTTGATTCTTCATCCTTATTCACCATGCTCTCATCCCTCATCATCATCTATTCAGCATTGCTCTCATCCTGTAACACACTTAGGAAATTACATTTTAGGGGCATGAATATATTTGAGCACTCCAATGTTCCACACATTTTTTATATAAGTTTCTCAAATGACACACTATTGAATAATATTACGGGAAAATCATATAAAAAGTAAATCGGAGATAAAGTATTGAAATAAATACTGTACTGTATCTAAAAATACCTTCACGGCAATACCTTCCCCATGATGGGGGCTGAGCAAACCGCCACAGGGCGAATGATGAATGAACGCTAGTTAATTGCGAGACTTCCGGGGTTCACCATGACCAAAGTAAGTCTCATACATTTTTTTTCCATGATCAGGGAAGGCATTTTATCAATATCAGAAGGAAAAAAAATTTTGAATTATTTTCTGCGCACTGGGGGATGTCAACTATAAACAGTAATGCAATGCTAGGGTTAAGGAGACAAATTCACATGTAATTCTTACATCCAAGTTTATTTTCATTACTGTACATTAGTGTAGTTTTACAGCCCGATGTCTAAGAAGTTTTAAAATACACACTGGTGTGTTTATGTTTAATCAATGGGGCTTCAGCTTTTCAAGATTAATTCTTGCTAATAATACCATATTTATTAAATAATTCTGCTCTTTTCATGAATTTCTGTGGCAGTAAATAATGTAGGCATCTCCTGCAGGTGAGACTGAAAGGCAGTGATCATACGACAGCCATATTTGGACCTGCAGGAGCAACAAAGACTTTCCTCAATACCAACTCTGAAGAGGAGTGCTATCAATGTCCATATTGCCCATTGCAACTGTCACAAAGTTGCTATAAAACCCATATAGATACCCATAACCCAGACAAACCATATCAATGCCCATGTTGTCCATATCGCTCTTCTGAACGGAGTAAAGTGAATACTCATTTACGAACACACACTGGTGAAAAGCCTTATGCTTGCCACTACTGTTCATTAAGTTTCAGCGTTAAATGTAATCTTAAGACTCATATCAGAAAGCATACAGGTGAAAAACCATATTCTTGTCCACATTGTTCATATTGTTGTGCTCATAAAAGCGATTTGAATAGACACATAACTACTCATGCAAAATAGTTTTAATCCAGTGATGGAGATATAAATGGGTAGGTTAATTCAATAATAATCCTCATGCCATCAAATATGACATTTCTCATTTGCTTTTTTCATGTAATTAGATCCTATTGGCCTCACTGTACTTTGTTGATTTACATTCATTTCATGAAAATGAAACCTAGCCCTTATTGCCAAAATTATTTTGTTCAACTTATATTTATTCTCCATCTTGTTGAATGCACATATTTTTAAGATAATCATAAATTTTGTTTCTCGTCAATCCCCTTTAATCACCTAACATTAGTGCTATGTAACCATGATATAAATATATATATGAGATATATATCAATGATATAATGAGGGAGCCGGTTAGCCGGTTGGACAGCACGCTGGACTTGTGATCCTGTGGTCCTGGGCTTGATCCCAGGCACCGGCGAGAAACAATGGGCAGAGTTTCTTTCACCCTATGCCCCTGTTACCTAGCAGTAAAATAGGTACCTGGGTGTTAGTCAGCTGTCACGGGCTGCTTCCTGGGGGTGGAGGCCTGGTCGAGGACCGGGCCGCGGGGACACTAAAGCCCCGAAATCATCTCAAGATAATCTCAAGGTGATGTACTAGTTGTGTGTTCTTCTAATAATTATTATACTTGTTAAATTGTAATAAATTTCGGTTAATGACCAACTATAAAATAAAGTTATCACTTACAAATGCAGATAAAGCTATGTTGCTTTAAAGTACAGTACCATATGTTTAATGTGTACAAAAAATTGATGTGTTTTACTGTACAGTACTTCTAAAGTACAGGAAAATCAATGTCATGTGATGTCAGCCATCATAAAATGTAATAGTACTTTACTGTAAAAAAATATAAATGTCACATGTTACTGTACTTCAGAAGCTAAATAAAAGCATTAATATAAGATTTCTGAAAGCAGATTTCAGGATGTACAGTACATTTGTACAAATAAAATACATATAAGATTTTAAATTAAAGTTATTGTTTTGTTTTGGTTTATTTTATGACTATTGTGTATGTGAGCTTCATGAAAATGGGTTTACCATTTTACAACCATCATTGTACAAGGTTCACTATATCATTGTTCTGGGTTCACTATATCATTGTACTGGGTTCACTATATCATTGTACTGGGTTCACCCTGTATCGTTGTACTGGGTTCACTCTGCATCATTGTACTAGGTTCACTCTGTATCATTGTACTAGGTTCACTCTGCATCATTGTACTGGGTTCACTCAGCATCATTGTACTAGGTTCACTCTGCATCATTGTTCTATACAGCATTCATCCAGCACCATTTTACTGGGTTCATCCTGCATCATTGTACTAGATAGTAGTAGTAGTAGGTTAACCCTGTATTTATTGTACTATGTATACCCTGTATTATTATACAGAGGAACCTCGGTTAAAGAATTTAATCCGTTCCTGCATTGAGCTAGTCATGTGAAACGCTCGTCGTGCAAAAAGAATTTCCCCATTTAAAAAATGGAAATGCATTTAATCCGTTTTACCCCCGAAAAACTTCAATATGAAATTTTATAATGTAATTATAATACATATAATACACCTTGGTAACTCCTTTAGCCACATCAAGCTTCTTAAATAATTCCTTCCTTCCTCTTCAAGATGGTGCAGATTGATGATGAGGACCTGCCATACTCCCTGGTGAGATCAGTCACACGAACACCATGCTCGTGCTTTGCTATGATTTCTTTTTTCAAATCTATAGTAAATGTGTCTTTCTTCCTCTTGACAAAACTATCTTTAGCAAGCAGCTTCTTTGGCGACATCGTGGGTTACAAATTGTAGTCACAAAAAAGAAAAAAAAGAAAAAGCATAAATAAATGCAGAGAGATGCTTATCCTGCACGATAGGACACCACCACCATTGTTGGAGGCATCCGAGAATTTGCAAGAACCAGCAGGAACGCTAGGAAGCACCACATGGTTTTCTTATTAACCAAGCGGAAGCTCGTCAATCGAGATATATTTTCTGCGAGTGGCTCGCTACTCAAAAATGCCCGAAATGCTCGTAGATGGGGCTGTTCCTCACCCGAGGTTCCTCTGTACTTGACTTACCTTTCATCATTGTACTTGGTTTACTCTGCATCATTGTGGTGTCCCATCTTCCTAGGCAGGCCCCAAGAGCTAACAGCTGGATCCTGCAGGTGTTAAAATATGCAGCAGATGTATGATGCCCATATCTCAAGAAACCCATCATTAAACTAGAAAAGTATTGTATGAACATGTTTACTGATGATGCCAAGATACTAGGGGAAGATAAGAAACTTGGATGATTGTCATGTGCTTAGAGACGACCTCGACAAAATAAGTGTATGGAGGCGAATGGAATTTAATGTGAATAAATGCCATGTTATGGAATGTGGAATAGGAGAAAATAGGCCAAACATAATCTACAAATTATGTAAAAAAAAAAGCTTTAAAGAATTCTAACAAGAGAAACAGATCTAGGAGTGGTTTTACGTAGAAAACTGCCAACCGAGGACCATATACTGCAATGAACGATGTGTAAAATACATTTAAACATTGCTTAAATAACACAAAATTAAAGACAAAAACTATTTGAAATATTGCAGCAAACATTAATATTTCTTTGCTAAAATAGCTGGACTTGATCTAACCCTTTTTGCTAGCCATGTTCTTCTCTCGTGTGACACTCCATATCTGAAGGATTGTCTTAGTTGATTTTTTAATACAAACCTAACTAATTTTTATTGAATAAGATGTATGGGAGAAGTAGTAATCAATCTGAAGGTGTTAGTGGCCCAGGTTATGGCATGATGATTGATGAAATTGTTGAGAGCATTATTGGTGATGTGGGGAAGGTGAGGAAAACAACT